ACACTGGTGGAGCAGAAGGCGGGCTCAGAGCTGAACTGGCAGCTACTATGGGCAGTGCCTGGGGCTACCCAGGTCCCCCTGCGGTGGTCTGGGTGGCCCAGCTGGCAGCGCTCTGGTGGCTCACACCTCCCACCTCTCCTGTCTGCCAGAGTTCCGGCTGAGTCTCCAGCCCGGATTTTGGAAGCTGCCCTGCACCTGGACGCACACCAACACCTCGCTGGTCTACCCCGTGCTGGAGCCCGAGGACTCGTTCTCAGAGGAAAGCAGCGACGCATGCCTGGTGCAGCTGCTGGGAACCGGGTGGGTGCCCGAGGACCCCGCTGGATGAAAATTTCACCCACTCCTGACACCCCCAGGCTGCATCCAGGGAATTTATGCAAAAACACACACAGTTCATCCAAGAGTCAGCCCCACAATGCCTGGGGACTCCTTCCCCAGCCTGAAGTTTCCCTGAGTCCCACTGCTCCAGGACAAAGCATCCAGCAGCTCCTACCACCCTGCCAGGTCCCAGTCCCCTAGGATCCAACCTCAGAGTCCTCTTTGCAGGCTCTCAAAGGCACCATCCACTCCACTGCAAAGCTTTTGCTCCAACTGCTGTGCGCCCCCTCACTCAGACCTGTCCTCAGGGCCCACCCTGCCCCTGCACACTGCACACTTCGTACCTGGGCTGCGGGCTCCCAGAACCTCTGTAGGTGTTTTACAGTCCTGTCTCCCCGAGGGGCTTCGGGTCTGCGGGTCTGGGAAGGCAGGGCTGAGCCTTAGCTCACTAGCCATTTTATTCTGCTGTAAGGTGGACTTGGAGCAAGTGCCAGGGCAGCACTCCCTCCAGTGCAGGGTCGCAGAGCAGAATGGGCAGCGAGTGTCCCCCTCCTCTCAGCATCCTTCAGAGAGGGGTTTGGGACAGGCCACAGCTGGGTCCACCCAGGAGCAGTGCTCTGGTGAGAGTCCCCCGCCTGCTACCTGTCTTTATGAGGCAGGCTTGTCATGGGGTGCAGGAGCATTTGGGGCCCAGACTCCCAGGCTGCCTAGATCCGAGAGTCCGTTGTTTAGGGCCATGATGGGAAAGATGTCATTTGAGGACTCCACAGAGTCATAGAAGTCTCAGGCCTTGGTGGCTTCCCAAACTCAAGACAGCTCCAACATGCTGTTCCCTGAGGTAGAGGTACAGATTTAGGAGACCAAGACACTGCACACCTGTATTTTATTTGGCACCCGCTGTGCCCAGCCTGGAGCCTACTAAGGCTCATACAATAGGCTGGGGGATCGGCCAGGGCAGACCTGGTGGCAATGGAGCACCACCCTTAACAGACGCGACTGCACTCCCCAGGAACAGCAGCCAGCCCTGCAGGATCCCAGACTTCTGCAGGACACTCGTGACCCAGCCCAACTGCTCAGGCTACAGGCTGTCCCACCAGCTGCTCTTCTTCCTCTGGGCCAGAATGGTGAGTGTCAGGGGGGACAGGGGGGAAGACAAGAAGGGCTCACGGCAGGTAGTGTGTCTGCCACATGCCAGGAAATTAAGTGGCTTTTTGGATTTGTGCCTGAGCCCTCAGGAGGGAGAGGTGAGAGTCAGCTGCCACCTTCGGCTCCATCGCTGAGTCGATTAGATGGTGATGGGTGGGGATGGACTGGGGGCTCTGCTGGCCTGACAGAGAGACAGCCTTGCATGCTGAGCTGGATCTCAGGACCTCAGAAAAACACAGAGAGAGAGAATAAAATAGAGGAGGCGGGGAGGAACCCTGCAAAGGAAAATGAGTGGAAGAGGAGAGACCAAGCCAGGCCCCTGGTGAGTGGCAGCAGGTGTCCTTCACCAGGGCCAGCAGGGAGAGGGAGCCGGGAGAGGAGGGAAGGGAGGAGTCAAAGCCCAAGGTGGCCTTGCTGTGGTGCTGGTATGCCCCACCCTGGAAATTCCTTGACAATTCTATGGTAAAATGACGCTAGGGAACAACTTGAAACACCAACGAGGCTAAGGCTTTTATATTCGTTTGTTTGTTTTAGCCTGTTTTTCAAAACACTTGAACTTGGAGGAAAGGAGAGCGGGTTTTAAAGGGTGTAACCCAAGGCTTGGTGGGGGGGGAAGGTGCCCAGCAACCCCAGCAGCTCCCCTGGTGTCTTGGGCCTCCGGGATGCACAGCAGCCCCTGTGGTCATGGAGCTGGGCAGACGTGTTCTAGGTCTGGGGGGGCTCCTGTCCTTGGGGTCCTGAGGACTGAAACCTGGGAGAAGGGACATCCAGCTCCACCTCTTCCACACCCAACATCCTTCCAAACCTCAGAATTATAATCATAATAATGATAAAAATGCTAAAAAAAAATGTTTCTTTAAGGGCCTGGGGTCACGATTCAGTAGTAGGCTGTGTGCTTAATATGTGTGACCCCTGGGTTCAGCACACATTGATGTGGAAAATTAGAGCTCATGATCTTCATTCCGAAAATGTTAGTGCCCAGTAGTCCTTGGTTTGATGGGGATTTTTTAAATTAACATTTGTTTGCAAGCTGCTGCAGATCAATGTTATTAGATTCAACAGGTAAAAAGTTAGTCTCACCATTGCAACAGAAGGTTCTAAAGCCTGTTCTCAATTCCTGTTCTTCTCTTCCTGTGCTGGAGAATCATCAGCCAGGTCCAGGGCCCATATTTGAGTAGCCCTGAAGCTGCCCTAGGGGTTAGTCCCTGATTGCACCACAAGGGAGCGTTTGCAGAGTGCCTTCTGGGGTGTTGTCCACCCAAGCCAGAGACCCTCTAGTGCCGTTCCTAGTGACCTCTTCCTTTCTGATGACCTCAGGGCAGAGCCAGGCCCCAGCCCAGCACTTTCAGGCCTCAGTGATGGAGCAGGCTGAGAGAGTGGGTGGAGAAGGAGAAAAGTGGTGGAAGGAGAAGTCCTGGCCCAGACACAGCCCCCAAGACCATCTCAGAACTGCGAGTTGAGTGTGTGTGTGTTCCCTGTCCCTGGTGTTTGTCCCCAGCAAGGATGCACAGAGGGACTGTTCCACCAGAGTCAGCACTACATCAGTGTCTTCTGTGCCAACATGATGGAGCTGAACCGGAGAACTGAGGCCATCGGATACGCCTACCCCACCAGGGACCTCTTCATGGAAAACAGTGCGCTGGCCTTCTGCCCTCAGGATAAAGCAGGGTGTTCATGAGTGGTCAGACTCACACATACACACATGTTCTCTCTCTCTCTCTCTCTCTCTCTCACACACACACACACACACACAGTGGTCAGACTCACACATACACACATGTTCTCTCTCTCTCTCTCTCTCACACACACACACACACACACACACACACACACGAGTAGGATTGCCAAGTTAAACAAATAAAAATACAAAGTGCCCAGTTAAATATGCAATTCAAATAAGCAGTGGATAAAACTTTGGTATAAGTATATCCTAAATATCACATGGGATATACTTATACTAAAAATGTGTTCATTGTTTATCGGAAACTCAGATGTAGCTGAACATCTTATCTCACTGCGTGACCACTTCCTTCCCCCAAGAGCTGTCCCAATGACAGAGCTCACTATGTAATCCCAGTGACTCAGGAGACTGAGGCAGGAAGATTACTTTTCAGGTCAACCTCAGCAATTTAGCAAGGCAGTAAGCAAACTAGTGAAACCCTGTCTCAAAATAAAAAAAAAGGGAAAGGGCTGGGGATGTATTCCAGAGGTAAAGCTCCCCTGGGTTCAATCCCAGTAAAATAAAAAAGAGATGGGGAGGGAGGGGGGAGAGAGAAAAGGAAAAAAAGAAAACAGACCCCAAAGCCTAGAGATGAGGCGGAGAGGAGCCCCTGGGTGGCCACTCGTTGGCTTAGTTGTCCAACTCCCTCCCTGTGATCAAGACCCTAAGTGGAGCAGGACACGGGCCTGGGAGCCCCTCCAGGGGGGTCTCTGGCTGCCTCCTTCCCACCCCGTGTGGCCTGCATACCTCCTGCTCTTCCTCCCCTGTGGTGGCCCTGGAGAGGGGAAGGAGCTGGCCTGGGGGACAGGCCTGCAGAGGGCCCCCTGTTCGCTTCCAGTCATGCTCTGTGGAATCAGCGGCTTCTCTGACTTCTACAAGCTCCGGTGGCTGGAGGCCATTCTCAGCTGGCAGAGGCCCTGGGAGGGATGCTTCGGGAAGCCTGGTGAGCTGCACGGCTGCCCTGGCCGGGAGGGAGTGCGTCTCAGGTGGGAAAGGACGTGTTGGTGTTGGGGCACCGGAGAGGTCGTGGCATGCCTGTGCAGGCGTGGGCTCACACACAGGCGGAAATGGGCTTGGAGCTTTGGAAGCCAAAATTTTGCAGGTTGTGAGGCAGTACCCCACTTGGTCGGGTCTGCTCAGGAGACTAGAACGGCATCAGCCACCTCAACAGACGGGGTTCTGTGTGCTGGGGTTGAGCAAGGAAAGGCAGAGAGGGCCTGAGGGTTTTGTTGCATCAGCAAAGTCAACCAGGTAACCAGTGCTTACCGAGCTCCTGCTCGTGTGCCCCACCCTGGGCTCCGGGGGACGTTGAGGCCTGAGGGAAAGAGGCAGAAACCTCCTAAGCATCCAGTAAGTGAAGCAGTGACCAGTTCTCGAGAGGGTGAGGAAAGAGGGGGACCCGGGGAGGTTCTGTGGGCAGCGGGGGGCAGGGGAAGTTCCTGGGAGGAGGCGGCGCACCTCAGAGCTGAGCGGCCCAGGGCTCAGGCTGTAGGTGGCCCCTGCCAGCCCCTCGGCCTTTGGAGTAGGTCATATTGCTCTAGGCCCAAACTTCTTCCTCTGTAAATAAATGCGATAGTCAGCCACCTTCCCACGTGTGAAAGGACACACAGGACCCTCACTGAGGCTCCCAGGAAATGCTGGTGTCCTCCTGAGAAGCTTGGGATCCCCAAAGAAGCAAACACTTTTGAATTAAGGGGATGTGGTTTTTAGGACGGAGTTGATGGACTGAGAAGTCCCCACGCCCCAGACCTCCACAGGGAGCAGGTTGGGGCAGGAACTTGTGTTTTTCATAAGCACGTCCATGGTTCCCTGGGGACGGGTTGGGAACTACAGTTTGAGACATCATCAGTCGAGGCCACATGAAAGGCTCTGCAGACAGGTGCAGGAAGAAGCTTCTAGAATAGCCTCAGAATTCCAGAGAAGATGTGAACAGCTTGCGTTGTTACGAGGGGATGAAGTTTATTAAGTAATGTTTAAAACTGTGTCTCTTCTCCAGCTGCCAAGGAGGAGGACCCCCCCACGGCCCCTCCACACCGCCCGCATGTTCTAAGAGTGAAGAGGAGAGAGAAGCAATTCATAGGTAACGAAGCACCCACAGGCCTTGGCGTGAAGACAGGGCACCCTAGAAAGACGAGGCAGACGTTCGTTCTCCCCTGGCACAGGTGCCCTCGGTGGGAAAAGGCCCCTGCACACCGAGGCCCTGGGCGCCAGGCCTCCGTGTCTGGGAGGCAAAGGGAAGGGTGGGCATCTCTCATCCTCTCCTCTCAGGAAGTGGGGGTCCAGAGATACTGTGTCCAGTTAGAAGAACGTGAGGGGCATTCACGGCCTGTTGAAGATCACAGAAGTTCCCCACTTGGTCAGGTCTACGCAGGAGACTAGAACTGCATCAGCCACCTCAACAGAGGGGTTCTGTGTACTGGGGTTGAGCAAGGAAAGGCACAGAGGGCCTGAGAGCCAGTGGACAAGGGACTGGGCAGGCCTGGTGGCCCTGGAGCCTGGCGACCCCAGAGCTGCCCCAAGTTACGCCTGTTGTCCAGGCTGTGAGGAACAGTGCCCCTCTCCCACCAGTGTGCTGCTGTGATGAGATCGTAGGGTGGGCCAGCAGTGTGGAGACTGAGAGCAGAATGTGCTCGGGGAGAAGACAAGGAAAACCGTAGAGGAAAGAGGGGTAGGAATAAAAACTGCAAAGTTTGCAAGGCAAATCCAGAGGGGGAGGGGGACTAGTCAGCCCCAGCTAGGCCTCCAGTGGACCCTGGTAAAGGATTCCAGCCACCAAATGCCTGTCCATCAGCCCTGACGCGGCCTCCGCATCTGCCCACAGGTAGCCAAGGGGGGAAGCGAGACGCAAACCCAAAGAGCCCATTTTGTGGCCACCATCAAAGTCGCACAGGAAGAGAGAGGTTCCCTGGCCAGGCCTGCCTAACAGAGGACACTGGGGCTGCCTGTGTCCAGGCTAGCAGGGGGCTGTGGTCCCTCCCCAAATAGCTGCTTGTCCCCAGAGACTGACAGCCTGACTGTGGCACTGTCCTGAGGGCCAGAAAGAGCAACAGAAATCCCAAAGCCCCAGGCCTTTCCAGCGGCCTAGGAAAGGCCCAGGAGTGTGTGCTCCCAGTGGCTCAGGAGGCTGAGGCAGGAGGACAAGTTGCGAGTTCAGGGGCACCCCAGCAATTTAGCCAGTTACAAAATAAAAACTAAAAAGGGCTGGGGGCATGGCTGGGTGGCATAGCACCCCTGGGTTCTGTCCCCAGTACCCAAACCAGAAAGGTCTCCCTGGAGCGGGATCTGGACCAGGGTGGGGCCTCAGGTCAGATCCCACCTGGCTGAGAAGGAGGTTCCCCCACAAACGGAGAGTCCTCCCAAGACGAGCAGCCAGAATTCACTTCCTGTACTCTTAGGCCAGCTGGGAGGGAGGGACACAACTCCCAGATGAGCTGGCCCGTCATTGCAAGGGCCACTGGCAGCCCCCAGTCCGCAGCAGGGGGATGGGTGGGTGCCAGCCCAGCAAGGCGGGTCTGACAGGGCACCAAGCCTCCTCAGGGCGCCAGGCGAGCTGGCTGGGGGACGTCTGGGCAGCGCTCATGCTGGCGTGTTGAAGAAAGGGCCAGCACTCACCAGGGCCCCTCTCCTGCAGATGGCTGCTCCTGCCACAGCACAGCCGTGGCGGTCGCAGCCCTGGGGGGCTTCCTGTATGTCCTGGCGGAATCCCCACCCGCAAAGGAAGAGCTGCGTCTGTCCACAAGACCCCCGCTGAGCGGCTCCTAGGATGGACGCTCCTACCCCTGCTTCCTGCAGGATGAGCAGGCCCCTTCGGCCTTTCGTAGGTCTTGGGGCCGAGGCCACATCCTGAGAAGGAGGCAGCCGAGGAAACCGACAGCAGGAAACTGTCACTATCTGGGGTTGTCTGAAGCCCTGAGTGAGCAGGGCAGGGAAGGCAGGGCACATGAATACATTTAGAGCACCAACCCGAGTTGAGTCTTGTTGTTCTAAGTCTCCGGCAGCCTCTCGGTCTCTGGCCTCTGTTTCTAGTCTCCAGTTTCACTCAAGGCGAATTCTAGGGAGTCATCGCTTCAGTCTGCTTTCTGCTACTCTAACAGAATACCCGAGACAGGGTGATTTATAAACCACAGAAGTCTGTTTGTTCTATAGTTCTGGAGGCTGGAAAATCCAAGGGAATGGAGTGGGCATCTAGTGCCACGTCATAACACAGCAGAAGGCAAGGGGGCATGTGTGAGAGGGACAGAGGGGGGGACTAACACCGCCAGGTCACGACACCACATCATCATGCATCATACACCAGCAGTGGGCAGCAGTGTGGCTCTGTGCCCAGGCTGCCTGGCTTCAAACCCCAGCTCTGTGTGCTTGAGAAAGTCACGAGCTTCTCTGTGACTCGGTCTCCTCCTCAGTGACATTGGAACAGCCCCACCTTGCGGCAAAGATGATGTGAGTAGCAGACTGAGAGTAGCGCCCACCCCATGCTGGGAGCCAGGTGCTACCTGCTGCACAGAGGGCCAAGTGACAGGGCTCCTCAGCCTCCCACTCCCAGCCCCGGGTTCTTCCGTCTTCTGACTCAGCACGTGAGCCAGAGCTCAGACCTGGCTTAGCCTTTGAGAGCAGAACTCAGGACTGTGGCCCAGCCGCCATCTGGGAGCTGCGACGGGTGGTGCACAGAACATGTGGCACTTCGACACCAGGGGGACACCTAGTCAACAGCCCTGTCCTCGGGCTGGAAGGCTTTAGTGCACCGTCCTGTGCTGGCCACCCTGTGACAACCCCACTCCTGCCACGCCCAGCTCCACAGCCGGTGGTGGAGGCAGGGAGAGGCTCTCCTAAACCTCAGCAGTCTGCCCTGGACACTGTCCCACAGTGGTGTTTAAGCCGTTGGGCCCAGAGCATCCTGCTCCTGAAGACTGCCTTCTTTTGAGGCGCTTGTTGTCTTAGGGAACCAGAAGCCAGAATGCACGCCCCTTGGCCCCCCAGTGCTTGGAGGATTTCTCTCCATTGCCTTGCAAGCAGAGATGTGACCCTGCCAGGAGTCAGCTGCACACAACGGGATTAGGGGGCAACCACGCCCACCCCATCCTTCCTGAATGGGGCGTGGACGTCCCTGGGGCCTGACTGCTGCACTTCAGGAGGCTTTAGTTACCAAACAGGGCAGGAAGTGACCAGGCAAACCTGTGCTTAAGTCACCTTCAGGAAAAGGGGGTCCTAATGGAAGAAAAATGCCTGAGACACACCCACCTGGATGACCACTTCCCCTTGCACCACCTTTGTCACCAGTGGTGCTGAAAGGGCACAGACAGAGGCAGAGGAGTCCTCTCACCTCTCCTTGAACACCGCGTAGACCTGAGGCTTCCTGTCCTGTGTTCAGATGTGCTCGTCCTACCTGCCACCACCCCTCCCTACGTGGGTTTCTCAGTGTGTGGCCTGTGGCCACCTCCATCAGAATCACCTGGGGATCGAGCAAGACGTGCACATTCCTGGGCCCTCTTCTAACCAGCCAGGAAGGACCCGGGACGTGCATGTCTGGCAGGCTCCACAGAATGCTGGGGCTCACCAAGGTTGAGAACTGCAGGGTCCCCAGGGCGTGGAGCTGTATGACAGGATGTGGCACACAGACAGAACACCTCCACTTGGCATGGGGTGGTGGCCCGGTCACTGTACAGCCTTCCCCTTCACACCCTCCTCACACTCCTTTATGGAGCGTGCCTGTTACGACTGCACTGTGTCCCCCCAAATTCATATGCTCAGGTCCTGACCCCCAGGACCGCAGAACGGACTGCATTTGAAAACAGGGTTTTGGCAGAGATCATTAGTTAAGATGAGGTCGCACTGAGGTAGGAGACCCCTAATCCAGTGTGACTGCTGGATTTAGGAAAGGGGGGCATTTGGGCACAGAAGCGACACACAGAGAAAGCCCCAGGAGAAGCCGCGGGGAGCAGGTGGAGCTGGGCAGCGCTTCTGCCAGCCAGGGGTGCGGGGATCGCCAGGGATCCTTGAGAGGCAGGATGGGAAAGACCCTCCCCAGCTCCCAGGAGGAGCCAACATGGCAACCGCTTCATCTCTGACTTCTAGCCCCCAGGACTCTGAGGCCACACAACGCTGTGGCTGAGGCCGTACAGGCTATGGCGGTCCCTGGTACAGCAGCCTCAGCAAACTCACCAGGCATCAGGAGCAGCTAGGTCCCTGCAGCTCACACCTGATGCAAAGCAAAGCCCCCTCTGATTGTTCACAGTCTGGCCTTTGTTAAAACGACTGACGCTAGCTGGGCATGGTGGTGCACGCCTGTAATCCCAAAGCTCAGGAGGCTGAGGCAGGAGGATGCAAATTCAAGGCCAGCCTTAGCAATTTAGCAAGGCCGTATTTCAATAAATAAATAAATAGGGGCTGAGCTTGTGGCTCAGAGGTAGAGCACTTGCCTCCCATGCATGAGGCCCTGGGACTGATCCTCAACACCACACACAAAAAATAAAGATATTGTGTCCATCTACAACTAAAAAAGTATTTAAAAATAAATAAATAAGGGCTGGGGATGTGGCTCAGTACTCTGGGTTCAATCCCAGGTACAAAAAAAAAAAATCTTCCGGGGTCCCTGGGGGAGGGAGGGGGAGGGGAGAGGGAGGCTGTGCTTGGCTTGCACCCCCCACTCCAGCCTCTGCCATGTCTTCATGTGGCCTTTTTCTCTCTGTGTCTCCGTCTCTTCTCCTAAGGACACCAATCAGATTGGTGTCCGCTCCATCCCAGTGTGACCTCATCTTAACTGATTATGTCTGCAAAGTTCCAATATTCAAATAAGGTCTTACCCTGAGGTTCTGGCATCTGACCCTGTCACACACTGAATCACAACAGTGGCCCCCAGAGGGGCCTGGCATTGATGGCCAACTAGGCTCGCCAGGGCTCCTAGGACGGCCACACATGGCACAGGCACCCAGGCACTGTCTAACCTGGACACTGTCATGGGACAAGAGCCCTGAGAGGCTCTTGCCCCCAGGGCCAGCTCCAAGGCTTCACTCAGGACCCTGCAGAGGGTCCTGGGCTGCTTTAACCCTCTGTTCTCGCCACCTGTTGTGAGCTAACTATGCCATTAACTTAGGCAAAACGTGTCTTTCCACAATGTCAGAGTTTATCAAATGACAAATTCACAGGCGGGAAGCAGGTGTGGGTCAGCTGGTAGTCATAAACTAGACAAACAGGTCTTTTATTCCAATCTTATTATTATTATTATTATTATTATTATTTTGTGGTTCCAAGGATTGAACTCAAGGGCACTCAACCACTGAGCCACATCCCCAGCCCATTTTTGTGTTTTATTAGAGACAGGGTCTCACTGAGTTGCTTAGCGACTCACTAAATTGCTGAGACTGGCTTTGAACTTGCGATTCTCCTGCCTCTCCTCCAGAGCAGCTGGGATTACAGGTGTGCGCCACCACGCCTGGCCTCCAATCTTAATTTCTAATATGTGCAACGTTCAAGTCACACATCGTACTTCACACGGTAACATATAAATGGGTCACAGAAACACTAAGAAAGGGTTAAGGCAGCCGCAGGGTGACAGGATGCTGAGCACAGGCAGAGAGGATATGAGTGCAGAGTCACTGTAGGTGGCCAGATAAGGGTTTTAACAAGGCAGGTCCTCAGAGTGCTCAAAGCAGAGGGTCCTGACAGATGGCAGTTTCCGTTTCAGAGAGTCAACTTGAAGCGGGTCACGCGTGGTCATCACAGGCAGGAGAAAGCACGTTCTGCTAAAGCCTGATGGGGACAAGAAATCAGAAGTTCATCCCTGTGGCGATTATCCTGGGCAAGTCTCATAAGGAGTGACCAGGTAACAGGGGATGCTGTTGAAAGACTTAGACTCCCCGTCCAAGAACGAACCACACGAACAAAACACTGGCTGCAAAAGCAAGAGGCAGTTTATTGCTACACAGGCGCCTGCGGGTGCACAGCAAAACCTCAGCCAAAGCTTTGGTGACTGGCACACCGGGCTTTGGGGTACAGATCTTTTATAGGGTACAGGGGTCAGTTTCCCGCCTAGCATAATAGCAGGTATCTCATTGGCTCTTTTGAACCCAGCATATAGGTTACCTAAAGGGTAAACTTGTTTTCCACTTATGTAGAGAATCAGATGTAACTGCGTTACTATTACTGTCCTTGATGGAGTCTGCCTGCAAACAGGATATTCTGTCAAGGTATAGATAGGTAACAGCGGACATGCTTGAAAACAAGGTGTCTGCTGTCCTTGGGAGGGCCTACTTGCAAACGGGAGGCTCCTTCAAGGTTTAGATAAGGTAACTGTGGACATGCTTGAAAACAAGGTGTCTGCTGTCCTTGGGAGGACTTGCCTGCAAACGGGATGTTCTGCCAAGTGGGCTAGGAGAGCGCTGAGAAAAATTTTATTATCTGTTCTTAACAAAGAGCAGAGCTCAACATACTCCGGGCCGAGAATAGATTAGCCATGAGAAGCGGGTCACTTCTGATTAGAAAGTAAAACTTCTGTATGCTATGTTTAATTAGCTGAAAGACCTGATTTATTGATGTTGGAAGGCTGACTTCTTTGTTCACAAGACTATAAAAAGATTGCTTGTACACAATGAAGGACTTTTTTTTTCTGCTGCTGCTTTGCTTGCTCTGCTTCTTCTTTCTTTTCCCATGCTGACCTGCAAGTGAATTACTGCAACACACTTAAGTTCCCGGAAAACCCACAGGCTTACATTCTGTTTTTGCTTATCTGTTCCTGTTTGCTCAGGCATGTCGAAGAGCAGTTAAACTGCTCTTTCTCAGCTGGTTATGTGGAAAGTTCATCCGGTGCTTAGACTTGTTTGTGACATACCTGCATGCTTTCGCAACAAGGCCTTAGGTTACTGGGCTGGGGTCTTTCATTCCCCCCTTTTTCTATAACATGGATAAAAATCTTATATCCACTGTTCTGATTGCTCAGGTTCTTGGGCTAGACTTGTTTGGGACCCTGCCTAT